CCTCTTCCCTGCTCCTACCTCTTCCCTGCTAGTTGGCTGCCCCAAATTGGTTGGTTGATTCATAGGGGGAAGGCTCGCGGTCGACCTCATGCTTTGCATTGACCAGATTTGCCGGAAGGCCCCTTCTCGGGTCTCAGCGTTCTTGTGACAAGACCGAACTCCGAACGATGCAACCGGGGGCCCTGGAACTCCTTCAGGTCCTTGACCCTCTCAAAAAGCCAGATGTCAAGGGTCCAGAGTTGAAGCCAGATGATAGGGGATGGAACCCTTGACTCTTGAAGCCAGCTGAGTTCTGAGTCAGATGTCCTTTTAGACTGCCCACTTGCTCCAGCCGGTCCACGGTCCCTTTTGGCCGCGTTATGCGGCAGGCTGGAGACTGCGATTGAGAAGGCCAAAAAGCTGGAGGTGGATCTGATAGACCGAATCGGACAGAATTGGTTGAAAGGAACATCTACAGGAAAGGGGGGTGAACCATGGTCTATCATGGTGGGTGAACCATGATCTATCTGGTGAACCATAGTTTTGGGTGTGAACATGGGTGAACCATGGTTTCATGTATATAGATTTTCCCTTAAACCAATTCTGAGACATTTGCCTGACAGGCCATCCGGGTTGGGGCTGTCCCCAACGCAAGCCTTTCTGATATACCTGCGTTGGGAACGAAGCAGCTGTGACCTGAAGGGCACCACACACACAGACAGTGGGTCTGGACTGACTGGAGGGGGCAGACAGATTGGATGAAACAGCAAGTTGGTTTGGTGAATGAAACATTTGTGACCTCTTTCGTTGACACTCGGAGTCCACACACGGACATGTTGGTTCGCAAAGACTTGCATGCGACCATCGGAGACGGGCTTCTCCCGGAATGCAAAAGGACCTCACCAAAAGCATCACCAAAACAACCACTGCAGTGTAATTAGGTGTAAGACTTAGTTAATGAAAACCAGCAATGAAAACCATACATGGTTTCTATTGCAGGCAGGCCCCACTCAAAAGCCCGTCCAACATCGTTTCGAATCAGTTAGAGCGCCGCGTGGGTGGTAGGTGGATGCCAAAGCCATCTCCAAGGCTGAAGAGGCTGAGCCGGGAAGTCCTGGTCACACATGGTCACTGTTTCGGCCACTCGTTTCGGTGCTTTTCTCGTTTTGGGTTGCTGATATCACACTGGAAATCAGGAGGAGGTCGATAGATCATCATAAATCAACACTTTTTACCCGAGACAGGGACCAAGGAAGAGACCTGACTTTCAAAAGATTTTTCTACATGTTCCTATACAAATGGGTGTCACCGACCGCATCATGGTCAGACTCATCCGGCACTGCAATCGGGTTGGATTTGCTGGAAACCTTCATTTATACATATATACATTATAGGTCTGATTTGACGGGGGTCTTCGATCAACACCTATCTCTGTCAGCTCTACATCTTCTTCGTCCTCGAATCTCTTGGAACACACCGAGATGAGAGATGTGTTCATGGCAGGTTGCCTAGCAGCTTGCCCCTTCCTCTCTTGTGAGAAAGCAGTATACCTGGCAGGTTGCCCCCTTCTGTCCCCTCCACCTCTCCACCTCAGCGGCAGGTGCTCAAGAAGGAACAGGTGAAACAGGATGCCCGAGCAAAGCTGCAAGCCGCCAAGGCGCCGAGCCCAGTTCTTCAGCGGAGAATGGGGCGGCGGAAGGGTGTGTACCAAAAGCCCCACCTATTTGTTGGCGGGATTCCCCCGGTGAAGAACGGTTGATGATGATGATGAGGAGGAGGAGGAGGAGTCGATAGTTGGTGGTGAAGGTTTGAATTTCTTTTCATGGGTGGAGCTGGCAGACATGAAGCACGTCTCCAGAGACTTGTGTGTGGAACATGAACCGTCTGACCCGTCGGTCAGTGTGGAAGGGTTGTGCAGTTGTGCTCTACTGATGTCCGGATTTGTCCTCCTTGAACATGGTGGACATGTTGGAGGTAGCGTTCCGAATGTCATCATCCAAAATTACTGGGGTGACAAGAAGAATGTGTCCCGAGGTCCTTTGAGAATCTATTGTCATGGCCTGCCCCTCTTCATCCGTTTTTCCTTTTTACAGGCTAAAGTGCTAAAGGAACAGAACGGGAATCCACAAACCCGCATCATGGATTGTGTCCAATCCTCACAGTTGTTTTCCCTACACAATTTGAGGGTACAAGCCCCAAACCGAAGGTGTCGCATCCAAAGGTTCTTAGGGATCGGATGTTTGCTGGGAATTCAAGTTCCGCCAGGACTCTGGGAATGTGGACAAGCTCAAGGTGGGGTCGAAGAAGCAGAACGCTTGCAGCAGAACTTGGCGCGTTTTCAGGGGGCGCGTACATGTAACGCTTCCAACCACTGCGGGCTACAGTGCACGAGGTGCAACTTGTCTATAAAATCTTTGGAAGGCTATGGTGTACAAATACGTGTCATGCCACTAAACAGAATACGACATGGCAGGTCAAAACCCGGGACCCCATGGGTCATTCCTTGGTGCTTGACCATGTCATCGTCCTGTTCGAAGTGGTCAACCCGGGTCCCGACGTCGCCACGTCAGACGACCGACCTTCGTCTGAACTTAGAGGAGTCGAATTGGCCGCCGAGTCGACCTGGATCGTACCAACAGAGGTGGGTTGAAGGACCCGAACTAGGGCCTATCCCAGTTCGGTACCCCAGTAATAAAGGTCCTATAAGGTCACTTATATAACCTCTCTTTGGTATGTTTTGAGGTTTCAACAGACGTTTTGCTCCATGGATTTTGTTTTTCGAAGAGATGGAGCTTTGAAACAGAAGACCGCCGGGCGGGCGGCCATCATGTTCCAATGAATAGCGCACATGATCATGTGCACAAGTGCACAATACAGATACATGTCAACAAGTCAGAGCATAGCCAAAGTTCTTCCTATCTCCCCACCCTCTGATCAACCATAGCAGTCCAAGTTCTGAACCATTTCTGTGGGCAGACAGACTTGCTGATCCACTGATGGCACCGGAGTTTCGCCACCTTTGTCTCTCCCTCGTCTCAAGGCCGCAATGGAGGAAGCCCAGGCAGCAGGCTTGGCAGAGGGGGAGTTGAAGCACGCCAAGGACCGGTTTTGCTGGAGGACACAGCAGAACTCCCTGCCGTGGTGGACAGTGCGTGCATTTCGAAGGTTTTGTTCCCGAATTTTGTGCACGCGGTGGAAATTGGTTGGAAATCAGGAGATCTCAGGAGAAAACTGAGGTGCTGAGAACATCCGTCCCCCAAGAGGCGACGACTCCTTGACCGGTTGGACCCGGATGTTTGAACCCCTTGGTGGGGACCTTGGAGTGGTCTGTACCAAGCTGTGACCGACGCCTTCTTCGCCTTGGCGGTGAGTGATGCTTCGCTCGTGGTTCGTGGGAGTCCTGAGACATGCGGAGGCTTGATCAGAGGACATGGGCCCACAGGGTCCATGCCATAAACAGAAGTCCATGTTGGAACATCTCAGTCCATGTAAGGACATGCAAGGAGTGGCTCCATGAACAGCAGATGCTTCATGGTGCTTTTTGGCATAGTGAAGGTTTGTGGCGGACAAAGAATGACCAACATGTGGGCTGAACAAAGAAATCCCCTCTCCATCATCTCTGCAGCAGAGAGTAAGAAACTTCTGATTCTTCGCTACCTTTCGTTGGTGTTGGGAGAACGGAAGTGAAGTTGAAACACCCTCAACACGAACAGGCCGTTGACTCGTCGCCCACCTTTTTTCAGGATCAGCTGGAGGCAGCAGAGTCCAAGGAGAAGTTGGAGGCCGAGCCGAGATGGAGTTGGATCCCCACAGCGAAATCGGATTCATCCGCAGTGTACAGGACGTGATTTTCCTATTCACACTGGATGATGTGAATGCTAGTGCATCGGAGCATCTCCGTAGGTCCTTCCCAAACTGAAAAAAGTGCCTTTCGCTGGATTTCTCAGTGGACATCTGCATACAAAGCAACACAAGAGCTGTCGGAGACGACTTCCATTCCCCCTCCCTTGACTTGGAGAATCACGGGTGAAACCTGCGTCCATGTGTTCTCCGACGGTGAACCCTACTAAAAGCTCCTCCAGCGAAAATTCTGAACACAGCAGACCCAAGCCGCCAACCAATGTATCTTATCTTTTGTTATTTTTTCTTCCAATTTTTTCTGGTGGTGTTCATTCACAACCACACGGACACAGGAAATGGTGTCAGAGTTGTTCACTCAACCCACACTCCATAGTTGCCACAGTTCTAAGTGACCATCGTTGTGTTTGGAATTGAGCCGTATGATGCCGCATGGGTGTAGGGAAACTCCCTGTTTCGACCGACGGCACGGGCGCCCGGAGCGCACCAGGCCTCTTTGAAGACCGCTCTGCAAGAGCGCAACGTGCCTTGACAGCACAGCGACACGTCGCGTGTGTCGCTCGTCACGTGTGTTGTGACCTGTTCTGGAGACGGCGACAGGCCAGGAGGATTTGTTTCACATGGCCATGGACTCCTCACAGCATTACATCCAAACCTATATTGGACAAATGTGGACCTGTCTTTGTATACCTGTTTTGACTCTCGAAACCAAGGACTTTGTGATCCACAACATCTTCTTTCTAAAACGTTTTTGTGTGCACTGCAAGTTTTTACTCCTATCCTTTTCGGGTGTACTGTTGGGAACTGCAGTCCCGCGAGCTCGCCGAGCTCGTTGCTCCCCAGGTGCACGATCTGAAGTTTGCGATTCCACAGGCGAAGGTGCGCAGTGCGCAGGGGCGGAAGGTGGGAGATGGCATTGTTTTTGTTTTTTTTTGTTGGGGGGACATGGTTTTGGGGGAGGTGGTTGGTTTTTGTATGGAAACATGGGGTGACAAGTTGGGGCAGGTGGAAAAAGGCACTGGACGGTATTATATCATGCTATACTTATGCAAAGACCCGGACCTTAAACAGATGTTGGTCTCCTTTTCCGTCTAGCCAGGAAGACATGATGCAGAAAGATTGCAACGCACGTTGCACCAAAGTGACGTAAAGTGAACAAATCAACGCGGAAGCAACAAAAGTCAACATGTTTGTGAAGTTGCTTTCTATTTTTGCCTGAGACTTCGCCTCACCTATCCTCACCGATCCTCAAGACAACACATCATCTCTTTCGCGGGGGTCGAGGTATACATGAGAAACATCTCAGGACTGGTACACTCAGAAGCCTCAGAAGCCTCGTGTTTTTCCGAACCAGGTCGATACCCAGATCCACCCTCCTGTCGGCCGACCCGCTAAGTTGAACGAATGAAGGTCGGGTCAAAAGGCTGGAGGTCCACCATGGAGTTAGGCCAACCCAAAGGCTATCCTGGTGGATTTGACCCACAGCCAATCACAGCCATATTCATATTCTTTTCCATTTCTGTTACTGAGAAAACAATGATTCCTTCAAGAAGAACCCCCCCCCAAGTCGCCTGTCCCGAGTCGCGGAACCTTGCCACGTTGAGCCTTGCCATGCAGTCGCGGAAAGAAGATGAGCGAGCAACTGTGTCATCCGGGGTTTGCTCATGCTTCTTCCACATTAATTGTTCAAAACGGTGCATCTTGGGTTTGACCTTGATCACCACCCACTTAATGTAGACCCTTAAGATTATACTTCAAGCCTTGATAGGAAGAGGCTTTTCAAGCCAAATGGGGTGGTTGATTCATCAAGAGTCTACATTACCGTTCTGGCGATCTTGTTTTGCACCAGGATGCGGGCATCGATAGCGCGCTCATCGCAGAAGCTGAGGACCTCCGGTGAGCTGATGACCCCTGTATTGATAGGAAGTTGGACCATATGTTGGGTGGTTGGTGGTCCAAAATAGAGGTCATGACCAGGTTCCAACGGGAGAAGCTGCCGGTCGCCCGGCGATTGTGCTTTCTAGTGACACATATGAAGCAGAGGCGATGCCTGTCAGGATGCTTATTGGATGGACATCCAATGGGATTCAATAGGCCCTTCGACCTGGGTGGTGCTGGAAATGCTTTGATCTTCCTGAGTCTTCCTCTATTTCCTGTATTTGCTGCTAGACTGGGACCTACCACGGCCAGTGCAGGGAAACTGAAAAAGAGTTCATCGAAGGTTTCTAGATCGTAAAGAGTCCAATGTTCAAAAGGAACTCGTCCTGTGTCCTGTGTGTCTTTCACTAATCGCACAGAAAAATCCCAAAGACCAGATCCACAAGAAGAACAACTCAAATCCAAACTGATCGTTAGACTGAGAACCGCTGCGGTTCTCAGTCTAACGAGGTTCTCAGCCATTCAAACGCACGATTCACAGGAAGTGCTGAAAGTGGAAGAGCCCAAGATGAAAGCTCGTGAGCAGCTGGATGAGGAGCGAATGGAGGGAAAACGGCGCAGGAACCTTTCACCTGCACGTGTCACTACATAGGCAGAACCTGGATCCCCCAAAAGTATCACTTCCATGTGATTTTCTGCAATAAAAAGCAGTGACAACAGGTGTGTGTTTTCTTCTCGGGAAAAACCATCCAACACCCACGTCATTTGTCCATCCTCCACGTCGGAACGGGGGAACTTCTGTTGCTTCTGCGGGGTCACCTACCATGCTCAGAGAGTTTTCCTTCTGCGGGATCTCCGCTGGGGAGTTGGTGATTCTAGAAGTGGACGGGTTTAATAAACTAAACCAGCTCCAAATCTTGCCAGAACTATAGAACCATGCATCACACATGTGACGCATGGGAAACAGATTGCAAAAGGCCTTGAATGTCAACAGCAGACCTTTGGGATGGTTGGAATTTCTATCGAAACTTCTCAGGCGACGAAGCACATCACCAAGGCGGCTTTGCAGGCGAATCCGACTTCACCGCGCGCATCACTGCGCGTTGGGTGAGAGAAGGGAGGATTCCAGGAGTGGCCCCCGGTGTTGGAAAAAGAATCCTTTGGATGAATAGATGGGGCTAGTCTCAACAACTATTGTCATGGCGATATGCCGGTGTCCTTGGATGTCTTGCAAGACTTCAGTGCATGACTTAGACTTAGACGATCTCCTTATGCACAGCAGAGGTAGCAGAAAGCACACACTCAAAGAATGCCAGAAGGAAAAACAACTTTCTCAGATCCCAGCCGTCTAAATTTAAATGGAAGCTGGCCTCTCGCATCTCACTTGCTGGCCTCAGAGGCTCCCTTCGCCAGGCCATCAACTCTCATCATCATCATCATCATCATCATCATCATCATCTTCTTCTTCTTCTTCTTCCATCAAACTGCGGCCATCGCGGTGGAAGCATGCGACTGGACATCACATGAAGCACCCATGGAAAACACTGCCAAGGAAAACACATCTTCTTCTTCTTCCGCAAACTCTCCCCAACAAACATCCCGACCTGATCCCAAAACTCCCACCACCCACCGTTGGGGGAAGAGGTGTCCCACCTGCGCTGCAAGTCACCGCGTCGACTCAGGAGGCGATCAGCGCTGCAAAGGCCGCAGGCCTCGAGCCTACGGAGTGGGCCAAGGTGCGCGGTCAGTGGAAGAACAAAGAGCGGCGGTCAGTGAGCGGTGTGAGCCGGGCGAGCCAGGTGTCCTTTGGGCTCTTTAGGATGTTGTGTTGTTTTTTTTTTGGGGGTGGAGGGGAGTTGGTGGATTGCGGGACACGCGCTGGTGGTTCTCTTTTTGGTGCGGGAGTTGGTGGAGTAGGAGCCAGCATTGGTTGGACTGCTTTTTGGGACTTGAGGGATGGTTACGAGAATTCTGGATTGGGCCGACGTTTGACGCGAAGTCTGACATGATTCACATGTCATGTCTTTATGGATCAGTAAGGTCATCCCAACCTTGAGGTGAATTTGTGGTCATTGCATGTCATTGCGGAATCATCATCGAAGTGGAGTTCACCACCCGTTTGGTATTCCCAAAATGGTCATTCCAAAAGGCAAGGCCCGCTTGCATGATTCTTTGAGGGAGTATAATCTTTGCTTGAGGAGCTTTTTACTCAGGGCTGTTCGCTCCTAAAGGATCCGAATCAGGGAGGTCACAATTCATTCAGCAGCTGTAGTTACCAAGCTCCAGGAGGATGTTCCACTCCTCCCCATAGAAAGTTGCAGAAGAGTCCAATGACAAAAACGAGATCTGACCGTCACAGGCAGAAGAACTCTTGAAGAAGGAGGAGCAGAAGGAGCGCAGAAACGTCGAAGACACGCTGCAGGGTTTCCTTCGAGAATGGGATGGGTCCTTAACAATTCCCAAACAACAATTACTGCTAGCGAGGCCGATGGTTCTTGTTTCTTGATTCGGGGGGGGAGTTCGGGTGCACCATTTTCCCACCCAAGTTCGAGCGCAAGTGCTGGCCTACGTCGGGGCACCTGACGGGAGGCCTCCAGGGCACCCGACATGTCAGTGGCCCGAGGAGAAGCTGATGAAGGAAGTGAATGCAGCGCTGGAAGACTCGCAGCAGGCCGTCGTTTTTGGGATCAGATCAAGGCCATGTGGGTTGCACATAAGTCTTGGGGGGTGTCCTATTTTACCTTATAACAGTGGGTCTGCACGGTAAAACAAGAGCATCACTGTTTTAGAGACAGGCCTTCGACCTAACCATCATCATCCACTGGGGCCTGGTAATGAGATATACCCAACGCATAGTATGGTACGTAATGTATTATAGTCTAGCATTGTATTATTTTGGTCCTTGCACAAAGGTAGGTGAATTGGTTGATTTCCCTCCAACATGTGTTTGACCCTTGCTGGAGACTATATTGTGAAAAAACCCTTGGCTCCCTGTGGGCCCAGTGTCAGCCTGTTGTCAGTATTTGTGAGCTATGGAAAAACCTTTGTTGTCATGTGCAAGGCTATATAGATTATATACCTCTCAAGTTTGAACAACAAGTTACAGAGATTACAAGATTGAGAACATCTACGGTTACCGCCGGTTTGTTTGGCCAGGCGGTAGCTCCTAGATTGAAGAACACTAGATTCATGCAGCTTGGTTCAGCTTGGTTTGAACATTGTACATCGCATTGTACATGGTTGCCTGAATCATCTTGCCACATCTCGCCACCCCCAAGTATCCAATATGCAACACAACGTGTGCTATGGTTTGTACCCAGTTGTTTGATCTTTTCCGCATCGCGGGCAGGAATTTTGGGTTAAGTGTTGGGGGCACCCTGGTGACCTGTGCTTGGTGAAGGAATCATTGAACAACATGATTCGGACCAACTCTCAATTTCAGAAACGGCCTCCGGTGGGGTAACCTGCCGTGATGAGGAAAATACTGCGCTGAAACTGACTACTGAGCCCTGCGCTCCAGGTTGACACGAAGAGCATTGAGTCCTTGCGCGAGATGAAAGACAAGCTGCAAACGGCATTGAAGGCTACGTTAGACCGATGGACGCAGTCGAGGAGAAACTGGGTTTGAGGTTTTGTTGGTTTGGTTGTCATGGTCCATATAGTTCCTTGTGGGGTGTGTTGGTGGTTCATGAGCAGGCACATCATGCTTTGGTGTCATGTTGAAGTCCTGCAAGTTGCCAGGACAGATGGCCTCCACAAATGCAATGGTCTTAGGGCTATGCTGCCTGATGTGCTGATTCAACCGCCTATATCCTTGGAGCACCTAGGTGGAACCTCGAAGTCCAGCTGGTGAGCGAACTACAGGAGATCACAACGATCAATGGTCAGATCACCGTGACACCTCGATGTTGGAAAACCATGGAGAACCCGATGCCTTATTGCAGTAGTAACCGCAGTTGTGCTATAATGGCAACTGGCAGCAACACCCAGGTCGTTTTTCGGGCCCCCGAATCCCCGACCTGGGTGGTCCGGCAAACACGTCGATTCTGCCGGATGCGAAGCTGCAGGCCGCCTTGGAGGCTGGAGTGGCTGAATCGGCCGGGGAACTCATTGGCAATGGGGGTTGATCAATAGTGATCATGGGGAGGAAATCATGATGTGCAAGTGCAGTGCTAGTTGGACATGGTGGATTGTTTCTTTTTTCTCCCCCCTATCGATCCACATACCTTCTCAGAAGGTATGATTGGATGGTCCTGAAGCCTAGATGTCGAACACATCACCCTCTCAGAGGCATCCTCTGCATGCTTAGGGTAATGGATAGCAATTGTGAACCATCATCAGCATCCTTCACTGTCACAGTGATCGGGATAGACCCACAAAGGCCTTGAGGGTCTAAGGAGTACTCCAAGGTACTACCCCTGACTCTTCTGGTGGTCCATGGTGGTCCACATGGTGTGTTTGCCACCCCGTGGTAAGCGGCGAGGAGCTGTTTGAAAGAAATCCCGCTCTTCCAACACATCATGGAGGTCAGCTGATTTGGAGTCACATGGGAAACTTGAAACTTGGAGCCTGTTCCACCAATTTGTTCTTAAATGAGTGCTGGCCAAACACTTCCTAACCAACAAACATCCCTTAGTTCACAAGCTGGTCAAGCAACACACGTTGAGAAGTTGCTCAAGCTGGTCAAGAACTCGGTGGCATCGGAGAACTCGGTGGCATCACAAGAACTCTCAACGACTTTTGGGGCAAGAATGCGGCAGAATTGACTCCTTTCAAACTTAACAGAATGCCGGAATCCAGGCATGAAATAACAAATCATCCACTTATGCCGCATTTTCTGCGTCCGATCAATGTCTTGAAGGGGAGTTTACAGTCATCGTCAGTGTACTTCACTAGATCCCCTCATTCTTTTCGACCCCACACAGACTGGGATGGGAAGCTCTCACCGTCATGGTGAAGCGCTGGTGTGGATTCCTCACCGGTTCGGGTGGGTTCTACCGGGGGCAGAGAAAGCCCACGTGGTTCTCTCTCTTCGTCAGGATTTGGTACCCATCGACCAACGCCGCAAGAAGTTGCACAACATGGTGGAGGCGAACCGTGGTCACGGGCGTTGTCACGGGCGTTGTTAAGCACCGGTGTTGGTGGGGGGGAGGATCCGTTGGAGGATTTGTGGTCCATCGGACTGGGATAGTGGCATGTTCACCCCATTTATGACCATGTAACTGATGTAGGTATAACATGGTATAACTATTCCATACACGGATGGGCTAGGGTTCGGTGAATTCAAGAGAAAAGAGTATATATAAATACCCTGACACTTCTATTCTCGCGACATCTCGCCACTGGGTCGCCATGTGAGGCACCCAAAGTTACGTAGCACCTGGACTAGCATGGTCTAACACCCTTGGGTTTCTTCGTTAAAAAACAAACTCAATGAGTCAATGAGGCCCTTGCTCCCAGGATGTCCCTTGAAACAATGCCCGGCATGGCCCCGAAAGGAAGACAATCTTCTGAATACCAAGAGGGGGTTGTCCACTTCCATGAGTGTTGCAGGGAGGGTACTTGGTCTACTTGGTACCGGCAGGGTTCAGTTGGGTGATGTAATGATGACAAAAACCGAAACAAGCCACCTCGCTGACTGGTCGACGCCACTTTGTGCCGTCCTGCCCCGTCCTGCCGTGGGCCACAGAATTTTCAGCTCGAGCCTCACGCGTGCAAACCAGCGCTGGCTGCTCTGGAAAACCCAGCGCCGGGCCACACCGCCATCTACGACCACCACCGCGCCCACGCGTTCTCCGCCTGCAGCCGCGTTCGACGTTCAGCGATGAGGTGTGGCAACGTGTCACTCGAGGAGACCCCACTCGAGGAGTTGGCTCGCTCGCTGCGGACGGGCGGATGGACCAGTGCCTTCGCTGACGGTCCGACGGTCCGACGGTCTGACGTCCGCGGTTGGGTGGGAAGTCACCCAGTGAACACCGGTTCACCATCGGGTGGATCGGAGATATCCAATGGTCCAATGGTCCGGAGAATTTCGATCTGTGACCTACAAGATGCTGGTTGATATTCAGAGCCGTTTGAGGATGGTAGGCCCATGTTGGAACAGTAGAATGGACCAACAGTGGATTTGTATCGGTGTTTCTTTCCCTGGCAGGATGGACTGTCCATCCGGTCAGAGAAAGTGAGAGACTGCGAGCCCCTGAGAGACAAGCTTCAAACCATCCAGACCTTGTAGATTGACGGCCCCTAGTTTATGGAAAAAATGGGATCTCCTTGACTTGCCAGGAGTGTATTGACTTTATTCCAATGTTCAGTTTGAGTTTCTTAGTTGAAAAAGAGTATGCTACACCTATTGCCTAGTCCAAGATATGTTATTCACGAGCAAGACCGGGGACAGCATTGTCAGGCGATTTTGCACCTGGTCCATTGAATCGGACACATGTTTTAATCATGGCTTTCATGTTCTTCACTCGGCCTGCTTTCACTCGGTCACTCATGTTGCTTGCTAGGCTAAATGTTTGCACCTGATCCTATCCGATCCGATAAGCAGCTCATCCGGAGGAATCGGGTGTGTGTGTGTATAGGACCTACACCCCAACTTATGGATCTGACCCTACGAATCTGGGCCCTCAAATGAAAAAATGCGCTTTTTCATGTTCCGCGAAGGTTAGCTTGCAGGGTCTCACCCCGACACCACGGTGTCGAGTTTGGGGTTTCAAACGGATTCATCGAGGCGCCCCATGAGTCCAATCCTGTCACATGGATATCTAATCCTTTCTATTTCAGGGGCAGATTCTTAGGGATCTACATCGTTTCCTCTGACCCATGTTATCCTATATAGGCCACCGCACATGGCCTCGCCACTGAGTGACCTAGGCCATGGCTTTCCACGAATTCTGAGCTTGTGAGAAAAGGGGGGGACTTGGAACAGCTGACTGAAACCCATCGCCTCAAACGTTAATGGAAACGTTCAACACTCAATGGATTTGAAACGACCCACATTTGCACGACTCAGGACCCCTGGTGCTATTGCGCCCAAACGGAGCCGTTGACATCGATCTCAGGTCACTTGAAGATGGAACAGGCCACGACAGAGCCCTCCTTCCCCATGTACACTTTGCCAGCGGAGTCCTGCGCTGAAAAACGTCTCGTGCTGTAGAGAGAGCTCGTGAGGCACCCGCCGGTCCGTGTCCAAACGCAGCCAAAGCACCAAAAGCGAGGGGTCCCTTTGGTCAACTGCCCCCAGACGAAGCAGGATCGCCGGTGCCTTCGTTGGATCCGGTGATGAATCCGGGAAATCCATCAAAATCCCAAGAGAAACTCCAGTCCATGATAGTCCCAAGGGTCCTATTGTCCCTTCAAATCATCGGAAGAGATCGGAAGTGGAAGGCCTTAACTTGTCCCCCAAGTTCAGAGGACCATGTTGCGAAGACCTGGTTGTTCACTTCCATGATTCCACGCACGGTGTGTATATAATAAATCCAAATTTCATCAACATTTCATTGAACAAATCCTGTCCTGTGAGGGCTCACCCCCTGTCCTCTCCTGCGCTTCAGAACGGTTTTTGGATGAACATTCGACCCGAATGACCTCGGTCCACAGCGCCATGCGAGTCCGTCACCGTACGGTCCGCCGGTCCGCCGGTTCGCGGACGTTCGAGACGACGTCGAACGGAGACGGCAGTGCACTTAAGCTTGGACACTGGAACATCCAATGTCAATGCGGTTCCCGATCCAACCGCCATGGCGACCTGCACCCAAGGAGAAGCTTCTGCAGATGTCGCAGATCCAACCGCACGAGGAGCTCTTAGCCGCTGGAGCTCTGACCATCTATGAGGCGTGGCGATGCGTGGCGGTGGAAGGCGTCCAAATACACATGGGTTTTCAGCACCTATCAGGACGTGAATGCATGGCCCTGATCTCGGACGACCATTGTCCGAATACGAAACATGTTTTTCTCCACGTAACCATGATGTTTCCAGGGAGTGTACGGAGTGTACCTATCCCAGGACCTTTCAAGAGGCCACTTCCTGTACTTGGGGACCATTGAGAACCTTTGCAACATTTTCCTGTCCAGCAGTTCCTTCATAGTAAGATCCAGTGGATGATGTCCGGAGGTTCGATTTGGAGCCAAGACCCGACCCCTCTTTGAGGGTCGAGGAATCTGAAGTCATGTTCACCCGGAAGACCTGAAGACATCCTTTTAGCCTAAAGACTCTTTCTTTTGGTTGGGGGTTAGGCCGCGAGCTAGTAGCGAACGGAGGAATGGCTAGTAGCTAACAAGTAGCTACTACCGACTGGACGCAGGAGAGAGAAGCGCTTCTTCAAGGAAACTCCCCCCCCGGGAAGCTTCTTGAAGCGCTCGCACTAATGATTTGGTTCCTAGATTGTTAGGGAAGCTTATATAGCTACTACTAGTAACAAAGTCAGGGTGTCATGAAGTGATTTCCTCGTCCTTTGCAGGTCTAACCTTTGCTCTTGGTGCATGTCTTCAAGTGAATTTGACACAGACCATCCAGTCACATCAGATGTGGTTTCAAGCTCCTCAAGAAACCTCTTTGGCTCCCTGGCAATCTTCAGAAAACATATCTCGCTCTGGTGGCTTTTCAGCGCAAACAACACTTAATGTTGACTTCAAAAAATCGAGCGAAAAAAGCGCATCTGTAGCAAGCCAGCTGACTGGGAGCGGTTTCTTTCATGCTTCTTTCATGTTGGGGACTCCATGTTGCAATGCTCGCTGCTTGAAGGCCAGAAAAATAACGAGAAAGTGACAGAACATTCCAAATTGGGTTCCTTGAAAAAGCGAGGGCTTTCTGGATGAAGCTGAGGGCTGTTCCAGGGTCTGATAGGTCATGCTCGGCCGGTTTCGCCGCGCGCCCCGTTCGCCGTCGCAGGAGCGCTTGGGAAGGGCAGCCTTTGTGTCGCACCAGTCGCTCAGTCACTCAAGTAGGTGGAGTTTCAGGAAATTTCAGGAGACGGTTGAGTTGAAGAAGTTTCTGGTCCACACAACCTAGAACTAATTCGGAAGGAATGGTTACAACCATGTCAAACCATTCAACTCCTGGATCTGCAACTCGAGAAGCAAAAACGTTTTGGCAACCTCGATCCGGTCCGGCGGTGTGACCGGAACGTTCGCCGAAGCAGAGATGGGTGGGGTGCCCGACCAAATGGGGGAGGGGGAGCCAGAGACCAGGGCCCTGGGTGGCACACCCATGCTGACAAGCTGAAAACGCACGGCTTCGCAGCGGTCTCACCATGGCTGGTGCTGGGGTCTCGGTCTGACATGGTCCGACATGGTCTCAGAGGTCCTATTTGAGGTGAATCGCCCATGGGAAACTTCAGCCGCTGGAAAGCGGACCATACCAGTGCTTTTCATTCATTCCCGCCAGTCCTTGTCCCGAGTTCCGGGGCCCAGGTGCGGTTTTTCATTCGGTCAATGTAGGTAGCTATGGCTATTCCAGTTTTATGGAGTGTTGGGGATCCTTCTTCCGGATCATCGCTGTTTGTGACACAGTCTCCAGTCACGACCCGTCTGGGATGGCCCCGCCGTCTTTGGTTGGGGTGCGTCGTTCTTGAGGGGTCTTTCTACCCACCATTTTTTGGAACCACATGTGGTACCCATAGGCTTCCACCATTTTTGGACGGAGCCACTTCCTCTTTCTCACTCTCCGTCGACTCCAACTAATCTCATTTCACCGGGAAACGACCCGGCGGTGTCGTCTCTGAGGTGGGTTGGAAAAGGACATCCAGATCCGGAGTTCAAGCAGACGCTGAGGTTTTACTAAGGGGGAGGTGATGTTGACGGAGTCGACTTTTTTTGCCAACATGGGGAACTGGACACAGTTGACAATGAGTGAGATGAGTGTGTCAGTTGTGTGTCTATGTATATCGCAGGTGCATGTGCACATATATATATATATATATTAATATATTATATCATATATATCGCATGTGCATATGCACAGAATTGCACATATACTGGATACGACATGATACGACTGGGGAACTGTGACTGCAGGACTTCTGGGGGTCTGTAGCCACGCGTTGTTGCGGCAGCAGCCCTGCGTGTGCGGGCAGAGCAAAGAACACAACAA